GTTGCGACGTCGAAGTGGAAAACACAGAGTACCAAAGCAAAGCAAAAGCAAAAGCCCCAAAACAAAAGAGATAACTGTGTGGGCTGGCAGATTGGTAGTTGGGGGCTCAACAGTAGTCAGAGGCAGTGCATCTGCAGGCCAGCAGGAACCAGGCAAAAGCACCAAAAGCAGCCAACGCAGCAGCACAAAATAAAAACTTTTCGAAATGGGAAAACTTTTTTCTTAAACGAGGACACAGCCAGGCACACCAAGGACGTAGGACAGTAAGAGGGGGAGTGGAAGGCAATGGGGTTCGGCAACGACCAGTAACGAGCCAAGTTGAAATATCTTTATTGTGTATCAAACCATTTGTATTAATTAGAAGCGGTAGCGCCGGCAAAATAATTACAACAATGCAAAGGGACGCAAAAGGAAGGAACCGATTGCTATGGACTCCGGAGACTGGACATTTTTTTTTCCAGTTCAGCCGTAAAGTTTCGCTGGCCATGTAAATAGGTGGGTGGCAGGCCAGTAGCGGAGTCACCAAAAAGGTTGCCCATGCCTCATGGCCAGGCGGAACCAAGGGCAATTAGGTTGTGGAGAGAAGCAAACTGAAGAATAAAATAGAGAGTTGAAAGTGCAACAACAAGAGAACACGAAAGGGGTGAGTGTGAGTGGTGGCCCAATATTGAATGTAAAGCAGCCAGCGGAAATACGAGCCAAGCCGGGTGATAATAAACTTATTTACTGCATAGTTTATGTACTGCAGATATCACTCATACGACATGGGTGCCAGGGTGTACATTTAACATGCACCCTGCTGTAAAATGCGATACGGCTACAAGTTGCGAAAACGAACTCCATGGAAGCCCAGGAACAAGTTAATGCGAGTACTCCTTCAATCGCGCAAAACCCCAAACCCATCCACAACCCCTGTCTGCCTGGTTATGGAGCTGTTGGGTTGTGGGTGTAAGTAGTAGGAGTAGGGGTAGGAGCAAGGTTGTGTATCGAATAGAGACGCATGATATAACTACTGAAATATAAGTACGTACAAGCATAATGCGATCGTAAAAAGGCTTTTCATTGCGAGCATAAAGTATTAAGCTACTTTGCAGCATCTTTGCATGCATTACCAAGGATAATACACAGACAAACGTCGCAGGCCTGCTCAAGTGCCACTTCGATTCCGCCTTGTGCCCGCCCACACTCCCATGCCCACACACACGCACACTGGCAAACGGAATATCACGTATCCTCCCATCCAGATTAGTACAAGTATATATATATATATATATATATGCAGTTGGACCAGTTTCCTTCTTGAAGCTGCAACTCCGTGTGAAGACTCTTCTTCCCCAACGACCAGAAATCTGCAAGGACAAGTCGCGAAATTGAATCTCCTGATAACTGGCTGGGCCAAAATGAAATTGCCATTAGCTCAGCGGGTAAGTGGATAAGGGGATACTGGGTATAAGGGGGATGAGCGGACCTTGGAAAGAAACAACAAACCGAATTTATGAAATACTTCATCCTACCCCCAATCCATTCCCATCCCATTCATCCATTCATTCTGCACTGCTCGACCGGAAGTCCTAGTGTGTTTATATTCAACTCAAAAGACTCGATGGCAGGACTCGTTGCCAAGACTCGATACCAAGACTGGATTCCCATACGGACGGATGCATTTACAAGCGGTCTAGCAAGTGGCCAAAAGGATATTTTATTGCCACGTCCTTGTGGTCACACGAAAAAGTCCCTAAGTATGTGACTCATGCATATGGATCCAAGGATGGATATGGCCAAATATGGATCTTTATAAATACATCTTTTTGTGTCGCGCTTGCTGCTTGTTTATTTTGGCTACGACTTTAGCCCGATTTCGTTTTCATTTTCAGTTAACTTGACTCCGTTCCTCATCACACTGAACCACTCAACACACTCACCCACACACACACACACATCCTGGCAGGACAACCACGCACACTCATGCACCCACATACCCTGCTCAGTTGGACGGCCGGCGACATTTTCGTTTTGGCATTTCGCATGCAATTTGCGGTTCATTGATTCGGAAGTTTTCCCATTTAACTTAAGCCTCTTTAACAATCCTATTGACGCAAATTTCTACTTACCGTTGCCCGGGCACTTGCCGCCGCAGTGGTACCGATGCCACCAATGCCACCGATATACGGATGCAGATGAAGAGATGGGGGCCACCGATACGGAAACGGAACAGATGCCTTCGGTCGGTCTATCCTTCTGATTGCCGTTCACCTCAGTGTCCACTTAGCCAGAGTCATTGCCATTTCCATTTCCATTCTCACCCAACACCCAGCACCCAGCACCCAGCTTGATGGCAGTAGAAGTTGGTGACCAATTCAGCCTGTTCGATAATTATAATAATGTGAATGGCCAAGGGGTGATGGACCTGCCCTTCATCCTTACTGACACGCAAGAGAAAGTGAATGAGGGCTTAAAGCCCCTTGATCTTGCGAACAAAGGAGTCTCCAAAGTTAATGAATTAAGTAAGTATGATTTTGGCAGTTCTATATTTGCAATATATATTTCTTGTTGTCCCACATTTGTAGGAAAACTGGGAATGTGCACACACAAACAGCTTAAGACGGAGGACCAACTCGTCCCAATGGAGTACTCCCAGTTGCTGCAGGAGGATCATCAAAGTAACCGATGTGCTTGCCTCTTTTCAGCCAGGCAGCGGCAGGCACATTAGCAACAGCATCACTATCAGCATCATCGATGAGCTGGCCATCAGGGAACCAAGAAGGAGGATGTGCAAAAGGGACAAGGAACGACTAGCCGGATTGGATGCCAAAGGACACAGACACACACACACACACACCCGTAGCTAGAGCAAAGGAGCAGTAAACCAAAGCGCGGCTCCAAGGACAGGTGCAATGTGCAATCTTTTGGTATTTTGTTGGCTTTGCACATTTGGCGTAATGCCAAAACACAATAAAAAAGAAAGGCATGGGGAATGATGAGGACGAGGACGAGGATGAGGATGAGGATGAGCAACTGGCGGAACGAGAGAAAGCCACGAGGAGGGTAAAGAAGGTCTAAAGCAAAACAACTGCGGCAGACGGCGAAAACAAAAAGACAATGCCAACTTGACTCAACTCAACTCAACACCTGAGGAAGGCAAACACTTGAGGACGCGAAGCGGGAACCCCATTTTCCGCCATCAGGACGATGAGTACCGGGATGAGCAGCAAGCAGCAAGCAGCAAGGACGTGCATTCATTCAAATCGACTTGGGTGCTTCTTCTGTGTTCTACTCCTGCTCCACCTCGACCGACTGTTCAAAAGGAATTCATTTTAATGCACAGGCGGGCTGGGCTGGTCGTCTCAGCCAGGAAACGTTTGCAGGCAGAGTCTGCCCTGGAAGACGACCATGGACACGGTCGCGGGACTCGGAGTGGGAGAGTCGGATGTCGGATGTAGGATGTCGGATCCAAAGCCAGGGGGTAGTCGATTACGGGTGCGTGTGGTGCGCCAAGATGCGGCTGCCTGGGTGCTCTTCTCTCCCACTCCCACCTGCTGCCTATTCCACACTCCGCGGACTTAAACGGCCAAAGTGCAATCCAGAAACACAACACAAACAGTCAGAGAGGGGCGCTGCAGCTGGAGTTCATAGAAAGGAGTCCCGGAGTTCAGAGTGCGGAGGACCTGAGCTGGCAGCCAAACGCAAAGCACCGGCTACAGTCGAGCCAAGTCAAGACCGAGTCTATAATTTTTGTTGTGGTTCCTGTCTATTGTCTATTGTCTCTCCACACCCCCCGGATCCCTGATTCGGAGCTAGCGGAGCTTGGTCTCCTTCGCCAAGGGCAGTCTCCAGCTCCTTTGGCTTCTCCTTGGCTGCTCCGCGAGCTAGGGAAATGAGCCATTCGCGTGAATTACTGAAATCGGATCTTCCCCGCACCGTTGCCTTCGGGACCTTACTTGACTCATGGCTAGGTAATACACGCTCTTAAAGCTTTAAACCCTCAAATGAATTAATTCCGAATGATTACTGATCCGATCCTAAGACTTAATTTGTTTTAATTTACTCTACTAGTGAGAGGTTTTTAAACTAATTACTTTTTATCATTCTAGTTAGAAGTTGACAGGACAGGATGAGGATCATAAGCCGTAACCTTTAAAACTTCTACAAATGTCTTCTTGTACTACCCCGAATACTATGCTTTTAGCCTTGAGTAAGTAAAACAAAATCCCCTTTTTAAAACTTAAATACTCATGTTTGTTTTTACATGTTTAATTATCTTCAATTTACATAAAGTATCTTCTCAAATTGAGGGCCCTTCTGAGTGCATAATGTAATGGTTTCAGTTTCCAAATTCCCATTTTAAATTTCCGGAAATTGGTGTCCACTTCTGAGCCCATGACCATACTCATTAGGAGTGCTTTACCCAATTAACTCCCCATTAAGCTGCATTCAAACTTTGGTCTTTAATAGATTGCCGATTTCTGCGGTCCAGGCCATTCGGCCGAACATTCAACATATTCGATGACAGAGAGCTGAATCATTGGCCGTCCAGAAGCAGCTGCTACATCCACATCCGTATCCGGAGGCGACGATCTGCCAACTGACTTCGGCCGGAGTTGTTCACAATAATAACCTTTCAATCCTCGTGTGGAGTGAAAGCTGTTGCCACATGTGAGTAAAAGCTTCTTAAACTAAGGCGCATGCGTCAATTGAGTAAATCTCAAAATTGTGGGTGGTGCCAAAAATCAGCTTGAGTGCTTTCTTTTGAGCCTTTTGTGGTTTTATTTAAGGCACTTTACCATAGGTTAATTGCTTTATAAATATCAAGCCAAAACATCAAAGGAGTCTAAGAGTTTTCTTAGTTTATTTAAGACCCTTTATTATTCCAATATCACATTCTACGAAATTCAAATTGATTTCAAAACGCGCGCCCAACAATCGTTGTGCTATCGATAGCAGCCAATCGGCTAGTGTGACCAACCGCCGCGCACGCTTGCACGCAGAACTATCGAGCAAGGCATTATCGATGTGTGGCGATTATCGATGCAGTTTTATAAACAGAATTCTAAAATACAACAAAATCACGTCTTGAGCAGCTGGCGCACGGAAAAGCACTCAACTAGGCACCGCTTGCATCTCAACATGCCCTGCGGCAGGAGGCGCAGCGCTTAGAACCGCGCCGCCGCTCCTGGCAGCCCCCTGCCCGCCACGCAATTATGCAAGTTGCAGCAACGGATCCAACTGTACTCGGTACTCGTCGCGCCGCCAGTGGAAGAGCAAGTGGAGTTCCAGCGCCCAGTGCCCATGATCCCTAACCCAGAGGCATCACCACCGCCGTGAGACCAGTACATAAAATCGGTGAGCAAGTTGCTCAGTACGCTAGACTAGACTAGCTAGACTAACCATCTCAATTGCAGACATGAACCAGAGACATTCCGAACCATTCTACATATCGCCCCGGCTGTTCGACAATAGGAGGCTCAAGAGGCGCCGCTGTCGATGGATAGAACGCCTGCGAGAGCGCCAGCGGATATGCATGGCACAGATGTACGCCCAGGCGACTGTGGTCTCCAAGACTGACCGCCTGTCTCAACTGCAGCGGCGTCATGTGGCTGCTAATTTGCCGGCGGACGTAACTATTGATCTGCTGTCGGATGATGACGACGATCAAGAGGCGGCTGGACCGTCCAGTGCATTTGGCCATAATCGCCTCCTGATCCCTGCCCCCATCGCTGTTGGACAACGACAGCGATCTAGGGTGGGCAGAAGGCAGACGAACAGAGTCGTCACTCACTCGCATCTATTAAACGAGAGCATCCTGATAACCAGTGATGACGAGCACAACGACCAGGAAGCCGGTAGCACGTCTATGACGCGCCCCCAGCTCTCGATGCGCTCGCCGCCGCCCCTAGCACCGCTCACTCATTCGGAGACCATCGAGGAGGTCACTGTTTCGCTTGTGCCGCGCACCTCCACCACTGCCAATTGCCAGACGCGTATGTCCGGCCACCTCAAACCCTGCCGAGCGTCCACGGCGGCCAGCAACGGGTTGGCCATGGCCGGAGGAGGCAGCGGCACCGATACAAGCTGCTTCCTGGAGGTCGACGTGGGCGGTGGCATCACGGCGACGCTGCCGGACGAGACCACCGTGCACACGGTTATCGCTAACCGCATTTACGAACTCTCGTTAAGCAAACTGCGAGAAGGCCTGGCCTTCAGCGGAGTGCCAGAATATACACACGACCTGCTACCGGAACAGCTGCAGAAACTGTCGCCGGCATTGCGCGCCAAGGTGGCACCATTGGTGGCTCCTTCGCCACCAACGCCCATCTCCCTGAAACTGTCTAGCGACCTCAGCATATCACTGATCTCAGACGACGACGACTGTGAAAGCACCGGACCACATGCCAATGGAGCAGTCAGCACGGAGGTGGTACATCCCGTCGTAGTAGCAGCGGCCGAGGCGCACGCTGCTGCCAAACTGCTCAAGCAACAGCAACCGCAGCTCTCGGTGGTGCAGCACCTGCAGTACGTGGGCAGCGGACTCGCGGCACCCGTGGCTCTGGCCCTCCCGGTGATGGCCACAAATGCGACCACATCCGCCACTGTGGTGGCTCTGCCGCTCCAGCTACCGCGACGCAGAAAACTGGGATGAACCAGCAATGGACTGTATTCTGATGCCCAGCAAGATTCGTACACCCATCGCCATAATATCATTCCCCGAGTCGGAGGCACGGCTCAGACTTTATCTAGCAGTGGCTAGTAGTGCAAATATGAACGTAGATTTAGCGACAACACATCACCGTTTCCCAGGTATCCTTGATTGAATTCGTGTCGAGTCATTGTTCGTTCTTTTTTTTTTCTCCCCTTCGCCCTTTCCTCTATCCATTCCCCATCTCACTCACTCACCAATCCCCTGTCTCTGTCATTCTCATATAATATTTTAAGCTTTAAATGAAACGAGACGACAACGTACAAAAAGTAACTAGAAGAGCATCATCAACCCATACAAAAGAAATGGAAGAACACAAATTTTTGAAAATTCATAGAAGGGAATAGAAAATTTGCAAGCGAGAGGCAAAGGATGGTGAACCCAATATTTATAACGTAAAAATAGTTAGATTAAGCTATACATTATGTATATTTGATTAAGAGGATCGTACTTGGGTGAGTCACAGCCTGTGATCCGTCGCAGTCCGCCGTCTGTATTACATTTCACTTGATCACCAAAACGGAATAAATTTTCATTGTATATACCTGTACATCACTATTGTATAGATGGAATCAAGAATAGAAAATCCGGAGATGGAATCCATGGAATTGCAAGTATTTGATGCAGGACAGAACCAGAGTTTTGGGTTTATTCAACAAATTATATTCCTTTCAGGGGTAAAAACACGTTTAAAACCGGATTATATACTAAGGTTCGTTTCTGCAGATTACGGAGACGCGACGCCCTCTTTTCACCAAGCGTTCCTTGAACCACGATTGTTCACTGGCCAGGATTTCGTGTGTAAACTTGTATCGCGCCAGGGTGCTCATGATGTAGAGCGAACGACAGGGCAGGAGCAGATCTGCGGAGTGGCTAGCAGTGCTAGGATCTTCGGGCACTCGCTTCAGCCGCATAACACAATCACTGAGCAGGCTGATTCCGGCAATGGTGTGGCCACAAAACTGTTAACGGGAAAAAGATCAATGTATTAAGGTTCATCCCTACATGGTCCACCCTACCCGAGTGCTATCTACGTGCGGCTTGATCACACCAGCTTCAGCAAGGTCCAGAATATGAACGAAGGGCATAACTTGACCATCGAAGGCGACTGTGGAGACGCGGTTCAGCACATCCCGGTTTTCGGGTGACCACTTTTTTCGTTCCACCTCGCGGTAACCATGAATCGCCTGTAAGTGTTAAAGATTAGATGCCTATAACCTCAGCAGCTGTACTCATACCGACGTCGTCCCAATGGCTGGACTCGTAGGGCAACCGGCTGATGTGAGGCTCTATTTCTCGTATCAGGAGTTCTTCCTCTTCCGCCGTAACAAAGTCCTGGATGACCCGCATGTCCGACTCGAACTGTTGTTTCTCCAAGCTAGGCCAGTGGCCGGCGAACTCCACCAGGCCAAAACTTCGAGTCCAAGCACTCAGGAGCTTGGCTCCCGGAGGAGCTAGTCGGCGCAGGACTAGCATATGTTGCGTCACCTGTGTTCAAAGAACTTCCGCCAATCTATCGATTGAAGTCATTCGATAGTCACTCTCTGACACCGTTACTCCTTCTCTTAACGGTCGAAAAAAGGACACGGAATTCGAAGGGAGCCGCAGGCTAAGGGCACATGACAAGGTACCATCGGAATGCAGAGGTGCCAGGCCGTCAAGTGTCTTTGCTGGTCCGGGAACACTCGGTTTCCTGGCGCATGCGCCGGATGCCCTACCACGCAGTCTTCATTCGGCTAGGGCGGAAACGCTTTCCGGTGTAGATATACCAGAAATATTTCTGCTCTTCTGGCGTTATGCTGCGGCGGTGGCCGAGTCTTGAGTCCTGACTCCTGAGTGCAGTGTCGAGTGCGAATCGAATCGAACGGATTTTAAGGATACGGCTGACGGTGAGCTCGAGCTATGAGCAGCGGTGGGGTCTAGAGCCTAGACCCGTTAATTGTGGAACCTTCCTGAATCGGCAAGGCAAGTGTAGTCTCTTAGAAAAAGCCAGAAACGTCGCCGGTGTCCTAGTGAACCGCCCACACAGACACACACACACCCTCGTAGGTGCTGTAGGTTTAGGAATAGGTACAGAAAGGATCCTTAGATCCTAAGTGAAAACTCCGCTGACGTGTGTGTGTGCGTGTGTGTAGAAAAGTCAACAACCCATTCCCTCAAATATTGCTGCGAACACAAGTTATGAAGTGCTAGGGAAAAACGGGATCGAGCTGAAGGTACCGCACCTAAATCTAATCAAAAATTCCTTTAGTGCGCCGCAATAATGCCGATGGGAAGTGGGTGGATGTGTATACATTGAGGAAAGGCACACACAAAACCCCGTGGAGTGCGTGCACTGAAAAGTATACCATGTTTCGTATGTACACATGTCTGTTCCTGTCCCTTTTTCCTGCCCCTTTCACGGGCCTTTTGTGTTTTGGGAACAACACACACACACAATGTGTGTGTGTGTGTACATGCAGCCGGGCGAGGAGAGTGTGCCAAAATAACTCAAAATGTTTCTTTAGATCCCGTTCATAACTCAGAAAAGCTATAAAGTGACATCGTTTACATAATTGCAGTTCCAGAAGTTGGGAATATTTCTACACCATTACCTCCGGAAATGAGATTTTTGAGTTATGATGATGGGTTAAAAAAAAAAACATACATACAGAGCGTCATCTCTGGTGCCTAGAACCAGATCCATATGCAGTTCCAGATCCAGCTCCAGTCACGCCTTCTGCTGGGACCTGCTTTCTTGCTTCTTTCCGTGCTGCCTGCAGAGTTTGCGCACTCCGTTGCATGCTTTTTTCATTAGGCCCTTCTAGGCTCCGTGCCACCACACCCTCTCAAAGGCTGTCCAAGGATGTGGGATACATGGTTTATCTACACCAAAGTTAAATGTTGCACAGTGTGCGTGTGTGTGTGGGTGTTGTTGTTGCCGGTACCAAACGTAAACAAAGTTTAATCATTGCATTTTAACATTGCTCATACGCACTGGTGTCCATCCCTAACCGCAGCTCTCAGCATAACCACTGAGCTCCTCCACACATCTCAACAGAAAGGAGCAGAATGTTGATCCGCTGGAAGAGCAAAGACAAGAGCGCCTCCTCCAACCAGAGCGCCTGTGGAAGCAGCAGCTCCTCCTCGAAGAAGAAGCGCAAAGGTCGTGAGGGCGGTAAGTATCCGAAAGCCAAGGAAAGAGCGAGATGAAACTTGGGCAGTGCCTAACTCCATGGTCCCTTTCTTTCAGAAGAAGACTGGCAGAATGAAGCCAAGTCGGGACGACTTCCGCCCAATGAACAGGGTAAGTCCATTGCTTAATAGTATTGAAGGAAGTCTACTGATCCAGAACTGAAACTTGCTTTCCAGGCGGTGAAGAACGGCGCCGAGCTATGCGACGCGATGATCCACGGCGACACACCCTCGGCGGCGACATGTTGGTTTATGGAGGCTCTCAGCATCCACACGCCCATCAAATGGCGCCACAACAACAGCGCGCCATGGATCTGGAAGTGAGTACAACAGTGAGATCGCACAGAATTCCAAATTCCTAATTCGTTTCACCTTTCAGATGAGTACGCGCGCCCAGAAGAACAAAAAGAATCAACCGATGCGGGGCTATGCGCCCGTTAATCAGGGTCCGCTGTTCGACGATGATCCGGGCATCATGTCAGAGGTGGAAACGGCCAGCACCGGATTCCGGAGGGGCGGCAAGCAGCGCTCCTCGCTCCCCGTGGTACGCACACCATCCAAAACGCTGGAGCGGCCGCTGGGCTTGGTCTTTCTGCAGTACCGCTCGGAGACGAAGCGCGCCCTGCTGCCCAACGAGATCACCTCGATTGACACGGTGCGCGCCCTGTTCGTGCGCTCGTTCCCGCGCCAGTTGACCATGTCGTACTTGGAGGGACCCAATGTCAAGATCTACATCCATGATGCCAGCAAGGATATGTTCTACGAGCTGGAGGATGTACGCTCGCATCTGCGCGAGATCCGCGACCGATCTGTGCTGCGCCTTTTCGAGTCCACTGAGGTGGCGGCCCCGCCCCAGATTCTGCCAGGCGGACCTGGCATCCCGCAGCCCCTGCCCCCAGCACAGGCCAACTGGGACCAGGATCAGAGCTACTTCAGTGAGCCGGAGTTCGACTCGGACTACAAGCACCAGCACATCCACAAATCAAAGGTTAGTCCCTTGGATAGTTTGATTTAAATAGTCCTTTATTCAATATCACCGCGTAATTGCTAGGGTGTGGGTGTCAAGGATGTAGGGATGGGTGTCCATGAGCGAGTCAAGGATTGTTGGGGTCCCAACTGGGCTGCCACTCTAAAGCGTTGACTCCCACATGGACATGTGGGTCATAAGATTCCCCACTCCAATCAAATACTTACTCGTGTAAAGAAAAAAAAAAGGGAAAAGAATTGTGAGAATTGGGAAAGCTTAAGCTGGGGTCCACTCGGACATCCATACTCCAAGGCATAACTAGAAGTTTCCGCATTGGCCCACACTCAGGCCCTTGAGGGCATTGTTCATGTGCTCGCGGACATCCTTCCACGCGAACACTATGGCGCCCTGGAAGGGCTCCGTTTGACAGCTACTGCAGATGCCCATCACGGCCTTCACCTCCTCCTCGGCGGGCTCGCGGTCGTGCGTGCTGATCTCTTCTTCCAAACTCATCTTGAGTGTTAGGTCCTGCTTGAACTGCTGGCCGCCAAAGTCGGCAAGGCCATTGTAAATCAAGCTGGAATCCGTTCCGGATCCGTCGTCCACCACGGATCCATCATCTAGCAAAACCAGGCCGCGCTTCTTCAGCTTCTTGGGGTCAGCTTCCCGTTTGAACTGAATATGGGTTTCTGTTTCATCGATGAACTGCACGTTGGCTGAATTGCTCAGCATCTGGAAGCGGTTGCCACCGCCAGGCCGGACTTGAGCCTGAGGCAATCCATTTGGTGGCGAGAGTCCCAGGAGCTGCTGGGCCACCAGGCGCGATCCTGCATTGATCTGTCCGTTCACAAAGTTTGTATTAATGGTGATGGCCTGCTGGGCGGGATCAGTGGGTGCAGGAGCAGCGCCTGGAGCTGGTGCTCCATTTGCCGTCGGTGGCGGATTGGCCAAGTTAATGCGCACCCTTGTGGGGATCTGTCCACTGGCTAGCAGCGTGTGCATAGGCTGGGGACGATTGATCTGTGGAGGCAGAGAAGGAATATTATATTGGTCACCTCACAGGACACTGGCTTAAAACTTACCGAGGGCGGGGCACGGGTGGTGCTGGAGACCTCCAAGCCTTCGTGATCAAAATGATGAGCATGGTGGTGCTTGTGGTCGCGATGGGCCTTACCGGCACTGAGGGCCACCCGGTAGACCTGGACCAAAGTCATCTCAAAATGCAGTCCGTGGCTCACCTGACCGGTCACCGAAGAGCCGCCGGAACGTAGCTTGCCGTTCGCTGGGATTTTATGACCCACTAACTGCAACAGTAAAACGTAGATTACAGCATCTCTGACATTCGCCGGCCGAAAGTGAAAAGACCCGAATGGCATTTTGCAATGCACGTAATTGGAGTCAACTTATTATACTCACCGAGTTGTGGAAGCCACGCCCAATGCGTTCTGCCTTTAGCCAGACCTGCCACTCGCCCGTCTTGCCATTCCATGAGCTGCACATGTGATGCCACTGTCGCATTTTCAGCGGATAGTTCAATCTTGCCAAGAAACGATATTGCTATGATCGATGGATGGATGAATAGATGGATGGTTGCGTTTCGACTTACCTGTACATTTGCTGACCTTTTATGGCCATCGAAAGGAAACTGGAATTCTGCGCATTTGCGACCCAGATTTGCACCTCGCGTGGTTCCTTTCCAGCTGTGAATGTGGATGTGGATGCATAAGTGGATCAGATATTGGCTTCGAGACTCGCTTTCATGCCATTGATGGCAATGTCTGATGGCTGACTACTACTGACTACTACTAACTGATTTTTGATTACGAAATCAAACGGAGCCGCATTCCCAAATGCAAAGTCATGATGTCTCTCTCATGGTGAACAGAATGATTCCCCTATACCCTAGATAGAGAGAGTTTCTCCTAGTTGATTCCCATCAGGAAGCCTATTCAGCGGACTAGCTTGGTTATACAATCACCGGCATGCGGCAAATCCTGTTAGGCTGCTAAGCATTCAATATGCATACATTTAAATATGAATCAGCAGCAGCACCGGCTATGGGAAAAGCACTTCCTATCCGGAAGCTCCACTGCAGATCGCTGATCGCTGATCGGTGATCGCTGATCGCTGCTCTCCGCTACTTGAATTGAGGCTTTGGAATTATGTCAAATGCTAAAGCCCGCCGTCTCAGCTTCAGCTTCAGCTGCGATCAGAGTGCGACACCAACAATGCCGACGACATCCAACTGGAAACAGGTAAATTATCGCTTATGTAATGCGACCGCAACGACAACAACTCAAGACAGCAACAACACTGGCAATAACAACAACAACACCAACGGTGGCATAGACGCTGGCCTCATGGGGCAGTTGGAAATTTCCGAAAAAAAAAAAGAAAAAAAAACAAAATCCAAGACATAGGAAAACAAAGCGAATCTTAAAGGTAGCAAAAGACATTGTCTCTCAGACACCTCTTGTATAGCAGCACTTCTCAGCCAAAGAGCGAGGTGAACCCCACAACTTCGTCATCATAATCTTCACCAGCATCGTTGACCATCAAACTGTCTGGCGCTGACTTGCATCAGGAAGTGGTCTTCCTTTCACTTTAGCAGCCAGGTGCGATCGCCGGAGCGTGGCCCACAAAATTCACAAATGAAATTTCATTGCCCACAGCGAAGGTCTTTCGCTGGAGCGGTGGTCGGTGGCCCATCAAAAGATCGACGTCCGTCGTCAACGTTCCCGTCCCGTCCCGTTCTCCGCTTATGCAATAGCATTCGCCCAGTGGTCATTGTGGAGGAGCCATTGTCTCGTTTACCATTGAAGCAAGTCACGGTGAGAGGCTGATCTCCACCGCCCAGCCCTAAACCTCAACACCCGGTGGGTTGTTCACCCAAAAAAAAAAAACCCACTGACTCACCCTCATAGGTCAAGAGGACGTGATCGCCGCTGTGGTTGGTGAATCGCATCCAAAAGCAGAGCGTAAACTGGTCCAGTTCCGGCATCGGATTGTCATACACCACCTCGCCGTCCTGGTTAAAAGCGAACTTCTTAACGCTACATCTATCGGGCTTGTACAGTGGAGTCCGTGCGAAGGTCAGCGGCTCCTTGGGGATCTCATCCTCAATGCTATACGACTCGTATTGATCCTCTACATGATCAGCAAAGGTAATAGGATGAGCCACCGAGGCACTGGAGTCCACGCCATTTACGATCGCAGCCCGTCCAAGGAGCAGATCGTCCTCGACATCGACAGCGGTTTCCTTTTCGTTGCCGAACTGAGAAAAACTTGTGGACATCTCATGACTACTACTCGCGGAGCCCGGATGCGACTGCTTAAGGCTATAGGCGGCGGTGCTGCCGCTGATCCCGGCAATTCCGCTGCTACCGCTCGAGCTAACTGCGATGGGCTTCCAGGCGAAGGAGGCAGTCGCACCAAGGAGCACGACACCGAACAGAGTTAAAGGCAGACCCTGCGCCATTTGGTATCTTGCTAGCTGTTTGTTGTCCAATTGAATCTCTGGGATATGTTTTGTGGGATCTGGGTCTGGGTCTTGAAGATTCGATCTCTTCCACGGGTGTCTGCAACGTCCGATTGCCGCGATGTCTCGCACTTCACTAATCATCCACGCATGCGCCACAGCCAGGTTGAGTTGCGCCGAAAACCCAGCCGCTGCCGTAACAAAAACAGCAGCGCAGCTCGGCTCAGCTGGCCGCCAGTCTCGCTCAGTTGTAACAAATTGTAAAATTGTTGTATTGAAATTGAAACTGAATCTAAAAACTGGTTGAGGTCTTGTGGGCTGCGGTGGCTGATGTTGGAGTCTGCCGGCAGCAGTTGTATGAATGAGCCAACCACTAGCACTAGCACTTGCTGCACTCCAGGGTATACCTAGCTTAGCATCTACATAGTTTATATGCATAATGAATGAATGCATAATCGATGGCCAGAACTGACTAGGCAGCACGTGCGCTTGACCCACTGATCCTCAAGGATCCAAATCAGTGGCAAACAAAGACCGGAAATCATTTTGAATTCAGCAATTTTTGGCAAGTGAGCGGCGGTTTGGGAATGATCGAGAGGAGTGGGTGGGTGTATATGTACATTTGCCAATTAACTGGTATTCATCTTGCCACGGCCATGCGGCCCCCAGCTGAATCTTTAATCAAGACCACAGTCTTAACCAATGTTGTTGGACAGGAAGTAGGTATATGAGCTTGGATAAAAGTTAAGATTTCTATCCTGAAACTTATTCAGGTACTCGATATATATTAAGATATGAAAATTAAAGAAATTCGCATAATTTTTACATTTGAGGGATAAGTTTTCTTTCAGTGTACTTACGAGTACGTGTCTGTTGGCAATGTTTTTGGGATAGGCCACGAACCGTCATTAAAGAGAGGAGAAACCATATTGGACATTTCATTTCACTACTTGAACGAAGGCCAATTGGCAGTGTTAATCATAATAGCCATGTGCCCCTGTACCTGCTAAATGGCAATGCCTCTGGCAACTTAATGGGAACTAATCCGAACACCGTTTATCCATCTATCTTTCAGATTGGGAAACAACCGGCGCCCTACTATGTGGGCTCATCACAGACACTGCCTCGGGGCATGTACTCATCAGAACGAAACAAGGTGTCGATGGGTGCGTAGCGTAGTCGAAAGTGCCGACTAATTGATTTTGCATTCTTTTTGATTATTTCCTTCGTTCCAAGTAGTGGACACCCTATGTTTTCAGTTCGAACCAATCATCCACCTCCTGTTCCTCCCCTCTCCAGGTGATCTTTGCCTATACGCCCGTCCACTTAACCACCTGACTATCCCTTAACTCTCGCTCTCTCCTGGGACTTCAGTATATAGTTTGTTCGGTTAAGTTCAGTTCTACTACAGTTAAGTTCTTCAGACATTCGTGCATTGTGCAGTGAAAGCTCTCAAGTCTAAATATGATTCATGTTCCACCCATTAATCCATTAACTCACACTCAAAACCCGACTCAAATCGAATCAAACTCTGAAAATCTAAACCAAATGCCAAACCGAAAAAGGAGCGCCTGTGAAACCACTAAGATCACTCAATCCAAGGGGTAGCATGGAACCCCTGTTCCCCTATACCCCGGATCAGTTATACAGCATTCCAGGTACACGAGAATTTGCCTTTCTACCCAATTATAGCTAACACTGTACGACCGCTTCTTACTTATAGTAATAAGTGTACTTACTATACAAGCAATGTGACAAGTGACATTTCACATTAACCATCTGATCATTATCATTGGCTTAGAGCTTGCATTATGAAAACGCCAAGTAATCAAATTCAAATTTAAATTCAAATTCAACACAATCAATCGGAAAGCGTTCATTTATGCGGCCCCAATCATGCATCCCATCCGTTTCATTCAATCAAATTGATGTTTTAAGTTTGTGTTTATTGCGTTTCCTTAGTCCTAAATTTAACTACCAAACGAGTACCGTTAGTAGTGCACAGATAGTTATTATTATTATTGATGATCTACCATCCAAAGTCCCAGTTCTAACCGAGCAGGCTCCCTTTTGCAGACGGCTATACCAGTTCTCCGGAGCGCAGCAGCCGCGGCAACTATGAGGAGCCATACTACAGCCAGTATGGGACAAGGGGCACTGTCGTGGCGCCCATTATCGACGAGGAGCAGAGGTGAGTGTAGTTTCTATCTACGATTAAGAGAAGGTGCATCATTATCACTAACCATTTACAGCGATGGAACCATGACAGAGGATCAGTATGCACTGTACGGCATCAAGGTGGGACCAAACCGCCTAACGCATCGCGGCAACCAGATCTACGACCCAACTAGGTGAGCATCCTCCGTCTACGTTCCCGCACAGCGTTCATGTAAGAGACGTAGTCCTGCTGCAGCAGAACTGCCGGACTGGGGCGAAGGCGAATGGAGCTACGCTTCCCACGCCGGTAAACCTTGATGCGCTTTACATTGCCATTACCGGATGTGGAGCTGGTAGAGGCCACTGGATGGTAGTAGGTCGTGCCCTTGCTCTTGATGGCATGCACGATTAGGCAGAGGAGATAGCCGCCGAACGACAGAAAGGCCAAGGACGTAATGCTGATCTGGAAAATGGTCTGCAACTTGGAGGGTTTCTCTTCTGGCCATGAGGCCGGGGCGTGTGGATGCGATTGCCAGGGACCAGAGGAACCAGTGGTGTCATGCTCACTGCTGGAATCAACAGTTTAAATTGGGTGTACCCAAAGGCATGCCAAAGGCATAGCAAGCCGGCTTACCGATCTGCTGCCATCAAGGCCATTTGCTCCGGCAGCTGGGAACCATCGGACTTCGCCTTTGGGCACGCGGTGGTCGGAGCATCTTCCATTGCCTCCATCATCAGCACGGACTTTTTCAGCAGCAATAGCTCGTCTACCTGAAAATTAGCCAAACAGCGGGCAAATCGCGCCGGTGTGCTGACCACTATTCGGATTCGTCATGAGTCCAGGGCCATGCTGAGTTTCCCAATTAAAATGGTATCGTACATACCACTGCAAGTAGTCATGTTGGTTTTTAGCCAGCTCTTGGTGGTTCTTGCACCGCTCCAACTTGCCTCCAATTGACGACTGCGAAAGCGAATTGGCATTGCGTGCATGCACGGAGTGGCTGTTGTCAGTTTGCAAGCGAAATGGAGGGTATATTGGACCTGCTGGAGTGGCTCTAACTGTGCAGTCTAGTCTAGGGTATATCAAAGTTGCAACGTTGCAGAGGAAGACTGCATTCTTGCCTCGTTTAGTGGTTTCGGTTCACGCTCCCATGCGCCAAGTGTTGCGACCCGTGTTTCGACTTCGACTCGGAATCCAATTCCGGTGTCTTAGCTTAAGCCCAAGCCTGATGTCGGATGCCTAAGCTTGGCTGCGCAATTGGAGCGATGCAGTGCCAGCGGATGTGTGGCCCAAATAATCGCAGCTTGCCAGCACAGTGCACGCAACACTTGGCGACAAGTTTTTGAGTTTTGGTCTGATTTCGTGACTTTTTGTTTTTTTCGCTTACCTTACTTGCAGGCCAGAAGAATTGCATCGAATTCGCGTGGAGCACATGGAAAGGCAGCTGGCCAACCTAACGGGACTGGTGCAGAAGGCACTGGTCAATCAGAATCCACAGATTGCCCCACTGGCCGTGCCCACCCTGGATCCCAATTATCTCGTCGTGCCATCGCAAATGCAAGGTATGTCTCTGGAATTTATGGAATCTTTAGATGTTGTACTCGGCACTTGCTTAGCTTGGAACACTGCTTTTAAAGAACTAAATATCTCGGGATCTTTGGGAGATCTTAAATGGAACCCCTAACTTCTAGTCTTCCCTTTAACTACATAACAACATTTGTTCTCTCTTCCGTACGCTGCGTAGCCAACGGCTCCGGGGATGAGCTGTACATTCGGGAGAAAGCTCCCAAGCTGGGCAAGAACTCGTGCCGTAAGTGTCACCCCTTTCACTCGAACACCAATCCTGTAAAGCCGTCACATGTCTTGTGTCCTTGTGTCCTTGCAGAAAAATCCGTGTCCTTTGAGAAGTCCGTGTCATTTAGCGATGACATACAGGGAATACCAAAGTCTCACAACCCACTACATGCCGGTAAATTCTCAAAACACCTTAAGACTTAGAACAAAAGTCGATTAGGAAGTTACAAGATCTAAATTTTCCTATCAAAAGCCATTTAAAAAAGTGATTAATTAGCATCTCAAAAAGAAGATTTTAAGATTTCTGTTCGAATTTTGTTCAAAGTCTTGGGAAGATTGGAACGCTTTCTAGACACAATGTCCCTTTCTAACCACTGACCCCCCTGAATGCCACCACAACGCGGGTGATCTTTACAGCTGACACAAAGCCTACCAAGCCGGCAATCAAGTCGTCCACCCTTCCACGCACCTCGTCACAAGGTAAGAACGGCCATATACCCATCACGCATGCATTAGCCACGATTTTTCATTTAAATTTCCTTCCATTTCTCAACTTCTATCATGATTTATCATTAATCTAGTCTTTCCTTTAACGAACACCATAGAGCGAGACCGCCTAAAGCCTCCTCCTCCACCCAAGCCGATTGTGTTGGCCCAGACAGCTCACCCTACCTATCGGGCGGACATTGCACTGGCTCCCGAGGTTTATAATCATCTGCGTGGCCTGCAGAAGAAGGCCAAGGACCTACGCATGGAGGTCCGTACGCTGAGGCGCCTGTCGCAGGCTCAGGCCGTCGCCGTCCGCGAGGACATTAAGGGAACCTTCATGCGCATCCGTGCCACTCTGCTGGCTAGCAGCGGCAGCTTCTGGGACCACCAGGGTGACCAGGACGCTACTCGTATATCGCGTGAAGAGGAACTCTATAAGCAGGAAGTCATACGTCTGGAAAAGGACCTCAGCGACCTGGAGGGATCCGTGGAGAACCTGCGCGGTGAGGTAATAAACCGGCGCACTCGAGTCAATATGACCGCTGTGGAAGATATGGCTTTGGTGTTGAGTCGGGCTAGGTAAGTGCTTTAATAGATTCTGGATCGATGAATGATATTCCTCCTTCTTTTACAGCAAAACTGTTGCCGAACTGAAGCTCAAGTTCCCGGCCCTTTCAAATGGCTTGCGCTGCATCCTGTCCAACGAGATGGAGAAGGTTGTGCGAGAAGAAAAGTTCCTCAAAGAAGAGCCCGACCGCTTGGAGTCGGCACTGCGTCGCTGCAAGAAGTTGACTGGCACCTTGGTGACGCTCAAACGGTTTGTAGCCCATCCGTGGCCATCCCATCATTCTAACTATCACCCCAATCGCGATCTGATCCATCTCTCCTTTTTGCTTTCACAGCTTGGCCAGCGTGCAGGAGCAACGATTGCCGCCGAATGAGCCAACTATTAGTGAGGAGCCGCCGCGATCAGCGGACATCTCGGCGCCCGACAAGGTGAGTGCGAAGCATCCCAAGCCACCAAGGGTGACACGATAGTTAACCATGGTGCTGCGACAGTTACACAGAGCTAGTTCAAATCCAAATCCAAATCCAAAAAAAAAAAAATATCCAAGAAAGCGTTTTGAGGCCTGGCCACACCTCCATTTCCATATACTTATATACATATATATACTTATATACTGCTACATAACGTGTCATGACTATATATACATATGTATAAAAGTATTCTTTCCACTATTTTCTATCGCAGAGACTAGTTGCTTTCGTCCTACCATCATATAAATATCGAGTTTTGCTATGCTTTTATTACGAAACCACCTCACCAGATACTTTCGAGGCTCGTGGCTTTCGAAACTGCGATCCTACGCTGCGATACTTCTTTGTAGGTACTTCAAAAAGTCCGCTTTCACCTATCTAAGAAGAAAATAGGGAAACTCTGTCCGTTTGTCCTATGTTTTTCCTACTGTTAGAAGAAGTTAAGAACATTTTCCTGAATGTATGTACATATGGTAGAGGAGAGACCTTAAGTCGATCTTAGAGAGTGAAGCTTAATCCAACTTGAAGTTCGAGTTTGGCGGTGATTTAACCATTTGAATTACTGTACTGGGTACTGTGCAAAATTTGTATCAAGCGAAATAACTTTGATTACCTTACACTTATTCGTTTGTAGTCTTCGGTTTATATTTTGTGCGTTTATCTTATGAATAAGTTGCAATTGGCTGTTGTTACATAACTAGTGTTTTGGTTCATCGTTCATTTCACACAAAAATTATTCAAAAAAAAAAAAAAAAAAAATTCAAAAACAAATTCATTCAGTATCGAAAATTTGAACCAGTCCAGAATCGATTCGTTATAGAATGGGTTTAAGATGATATAGCACCGCGAAGCTTCACCGTTCCAGCCACTGACCCATGCCCTCTTGACCCCCGTGACCTTTGACCTTTGACCTTTGACCCTTGCCCATGCTAATGACCCTTTGCCATTTTTGCCCCACATCCCTCAAGCTTATTGTTCTCAGCTTGCCTTTGTTGGGTCTTAGATATACATAATATATTTGAAAGACATAAACTCACACACACACACACGCACACGACTAGCCAAAACATACAGTTACAGATCTAACATTCTATATAAGATATTACCAAGATATCAATCAAGTTTGTCGAGTATCCAGTTGCAAATCATCATCAACCTACCAAATGAGAACCAAACATAAAATCAATCTTAAATCTAACAGAACACAAACAGTTAATTTATAAAGCATAGCTAACGTCTTATAAAATGAGGTTTACCTTCGTTTTCTCTTTTTGCCTTTTCTCAAACATTTTTGAATAACGTTTACAACAACAACAACTACAACCCACATAGTTTAACTGGCGATGGAGTTCAAACTTCAAAGAGGCAATTACTGAGTAATGACTGAAAATTCAAATATTAAAAAAAATACCAAAAAAAAAACAGAAACATTTACCAAAAAAAAAAAAAACCAAACCGCAAAAAAAAATCCAAAAAAACAAATATTAAAAAAAAAAACACAAAAACCTTTTTGAAAAAAAAAATGATGAAATCATTAAAAAAAAAATTAATTCAATTTTCTTTTTGCTAAACATAATTTGCTCTGCATTAAACATACTAGTTTATATTTTGTATACTATTTACTACTGCTATAAACTTCTAACTAAACTAATACTCGTACTAAAAACTCAAAGCTCATATCCAAATATCAAATCAATCATCAAAGCTGTCCATATGCCACCACCAGACGAACACTCCCCCCAAAGAAACCGCAATCCCCTCTAAAAATCCACCAGCCATGTCCATGCTCGTATGTGCATATGTATATATGTATGTATAAAGAGAAGTCCTATTGAATGAGATGTATGTGTGTGTGTCCTAAGTCCTAGACTCAGTCCAAGGACTATGTCACCTTTCCAAGATCCATCTTCTGATCAAAAATATCTCAACTATGGCTTTTCCTGCTTATTTTCCGATAGAAAAACTGTTTGGTTTGTCAATTTGACTTCCCTCAGGACAGTAAGGTGACTCTTCCAGCACACATCTTCAAAGGGGCTTTCTCATATATATATATATATATAGATACCCGAACACCCACTTTTGTTTGTTTTCGCTTCACTCCCTTGAAGGTAATACACCCACAACCTACACCCTCAACCTATCAACCATATCTCCGTATCCGTATCTATACCTACGTAACCATATCCATGCGAGGAGTTTTGTTTTCAGTGTTCGCTGCTTTGCAAGTCTTCTGTTGGTGTTCGTTCCTTGTTATACGTGTTGTTTTGTCTTTGTCTCCCGCTCCCAAAACTGTTCACACACTCCTCCTCGGTAAGCTCGCCCTAAGTCTGGATCTCTAGTTCCCTTCATAGTCACGAGATCAACCATTCTTGTCTGAGCCAAAATCTCTTTCTGATTAAAGTCTAAATTAAACGAAAAACAGGAAATGGCGGACTAACTTTAGCACCGCTGCCCCAAACCAGAGATACCGAGATAGAGATTAATACGGTTTTTTTTAGTGCCCATTTTCCGGGTTCCTTTTCTTTATATGTTCTCATTTACATATATATATATATATACATTAATCGTACGTACGGACACTAACCGCTGATGGAGAAGAGCTAATCGCGATCTATCTAACTTTTAATTGATATTTTGTAGTTGCGATCAACGCCTATGTGATATGTGTGTGTATATATACAAGTATACGAATAAGAGAATATTTATGTATATGTGTGTGTGTGTGTGTCTGTGCGTGTACCTGTCTATGTACGTACACACCAGTTAACACCCCCCTCACCCCCCAAAGTTCCTTATTCCGTCCACCATAACCACCCCCCAAAAAAAAAAAAGGAAATAAAAAACCATAACTACTCTTAGTACCTAACAATTAATCTTAACCAGACAATCGAACGGCCAATTGTTGTATTGCAGTCAATCAATCAATCAATCAATCAATCAATCAAGTATGCAAACAGTCATCACTGTCAGTCACTGTTCTCACTCATCGATTGTTGTCTTTGAAGTTTCAACAATCTATCAATCCATCGACCTATCAGCCCCTCATCAATCACAAGCGTAACTCTAAAAAGCGTAAACTCCCCCCAAAAAACTAAAAAAAAATACAAAAAACCATCATCATCAGAACTACTACTACTTACTGTATACCAATTAAGCAATCAGTGTCCCTCATTCCAACAACCGCACCTGAGAGAAGAGTTATAGTAAATCTATATAACCATTAGACAGAAGCGAGCGGTCTACTGAACAAGAAGATTTATAGAAACTCAGATATAAACTAAACACACTTAATAACTTATCCGCCCCAACCCCCCCGAAAGCTACATTCTCTACATTGTAATCGGTGAATACTTCCCTTAGAATCCATGAATGTCTCCCACATGGCCTGCCATTTTATTTAGCATATCTCTATATCTCTATATATAGTATATAGCTTATATAAGACAAGAATCTCACCCCAAAGCCAAGTCATCTGTCAATCGCATCGCATCCGCATCTTCCCTGTTTCACACGCCGCGGCGTCTTCAATGATATTCGTTGATTACTCTATCACATACTTTCATGATACTCGTTTACTGTCTATCACCCACTCCACCACCTCTCTGTAGAACGCTTACCTATTTGCTTGTTGCCTGTGAATATGCATTAGTTTTCAATGTACAATCTACTGACCCAATCACATACTCTACTCGTACATACATATCTGGCAACCGATCATGTTACTACTATATACTTACTATATATTCGTATATATATATTTGTTTGGTTTCAAGTTTTGCTGCAAGTCGCCGGCTTTATTTCACTGCATGATCCGTTCCTTTGCAACTGCACCATGGCGATCTTTTTTGGTTTAGCTACATATCTAGATATATATATATATACCATATATATATTGCTGGGTTACTTTGCGTATCGTATCAGATGTGTATGTGTAATCAGATAATTTCCGAGAATCTATATGTCCCATTTGAGTACCTAATTGCCGAATGTATAAATGTCAGATGTTATTCGAATACTATATATATATATATATTATGTACTACTATATATATATATATATATATATATATTGCCTTCGCCTTCTTGCGGGAGCTGCCTTAGTGCCAGTGTTTTACCCCCAAATTGTGTGTTCTTGTAGCCAATCCCAACACCCAGGATGGGGTCGTTCGCTCTCAGCGGGGGACTCGCACCCGAAAACGCACTCGATGCTCTGCTAGATGAGCTCAAGACATTCTCCAAGCCTATTGCCCAACAACAACAGCAACAGCAGCAGCAACAGCAGCAGCAACAGCAGCAGCAGCAGCAGCAGCAACAACAGCAGCAGCAACACCAGCAACTATACGAGGTAAGTGTGCTAACCGGGCACATATCACCAATAGCCACCAACCTCCAGAACTCAATGGGTCCAAGTCTCCTTCCCTAGATTCGCCCTGAAGATTCGGCATCCGATGAAAGCGCACAGGCCGCAGTACAAAGCACCGTCACCACGCAAATATCGCAGGCACGTCTCTACACGGAGGCGAGTGTCAACATGCAGCAGGCAACCACCGGCAGCATGGTCATCGCTGTCGCCTCGGGCAATATGCCAGCTCAAGCTCAGGCTCAGCGAGGTGTGCTCACCCATCAGCAGTCGCAGTCACAGTCCCAGGCACAGCTAATGGTGCACACCAACATGGGCAGCCTGCGCCGTTTGCACTCCTATCCCAGTGAGTCGGATGGCGAACTGTCTGGACCGCCACCGACTGGTCCGCGGGCCAGTGAGACCACGTCTTTAGCCAACGGCGGCAGCAGCAACAAGCCACCCGTGCCCGAGCGTAACGCTGAATTGATCACCAAGGTGGGCCACAAGCGCATCCCGCCACCTCCGCCGCCACGCACCAGCTCACGCAGTCCACTGGCCAGTCCAACCAGCCCGAACGTGCCACAGAATCTGGCTGCCGCAGCCACAGTCAATTCAAATGCCAGTGCCACAGGCAACAGTGTCCCAGTGATTGATTCCGTTGCCATTGTCGGTGGCGACACCTCAAGCGGTGACAACTCGAGCGGCAATGAGTCCGGCAACGATCATGTCCAGCGCCAAGTGGCCCTCGAGATGCGTCATCAGGAGCTGCTGAAGAAGCAAAAGATGTTGCAGGAGCAATACCAACGTTTGCAGCAGATGAGCAAATTGCCCTCGGTGGACGTGGCCTGTCCCTCATCCACCGCATCGCAAGATATGTCCGGTGGTGGGAGCAACACCCTCCGCAAGCTGGGCAGCGAGACGAACATACAGCAGAAGATCGCCGCATTGAGTCTGGCCTGTGAGGCTAGTGGTGCCGCAGCTGCGGCAGCGGCGGCTGCTGCTGCGGCTACCAATGGTGGTGTGGTGGCCAGTGATGCTACGAGCGGTGCGATTGGCGTTGGTGGTGGTGGTGGTGGTGGAGCTACAGGGGCGGCTGGTGCGGGCGCTGCTGCTGCGAACTCCAACTCGAACTCGAACTCGAATCTGAACTCTCAACACCAGACGACAGCCACGACGACCACTAAACAGCTGTACGAGACCGAGATACTTTAACACAACTGGAAATTGGCGTGGAACGAAGCTAAAATTGACATTTAATCGGAGCGATTCAGATGCCTGAATCAAATCAATTGAATCAACGATTGAATCGATCGATCGTATTCCGAATCCTCCCCTACCCTACCCACAGTCAGACCTAATCGTACGCTGACGTAGAACAACAGAACAGAAACGATAGTTAAGATTGAATATGGAATATGAATGAATGGCAAGCAGATTGGTTTTGTCTGCTAAGTAGAGAGCACGAGTGGCTCCCATCTCGTACATACTTGTATTTACTATCCATCTTATTGTCGTACATATAAATGTGTGTAATTTGCACAGAACTCCAGCATCCGATGTGTATGTACGTTGTTAGGTGTTGTCTGTGAAAAACATGTAATGATTCGGAGTCGGAGTCAAGCAAAAACTAATCGCAAAACATACAATATTGAATCGAATCGCAAATCAAAAAAAACCGTTTGTGTAATCACCATTTGTGTGCACCCCCCCATAGAAAGCAAAAAACGAAAAATGAAAAATGAAAAACGAAAAAAATGAAAAAATGAGAAACGGGCATAGGATAAATGTATAGCATACCTTAATATACCGTACGTACACACCCTATGCACCGTCGTAATGAGACCCAGATGAATGTATTTATGTATGTACTCGCTTTACATTGATGTACTTGTTGCATGTTGTGTTTTTTGTTGTTGTTTCGATGAAATTATAGGACATAAAGAACAAGAGCAGTACGGGGAAGGGCGATTAAGGCCGACGCAGTCGGATTATTCAAATGGAAAATTGGAAATGTTTTCCATAAAGAACACATCACAACCAAAACACACACGTATAACCCCGCCCCCAGCACCTAAAGCCTAGATATATGTGTCATCAATGCCCGAGCATTATCCCTAGACCTAAATCCAGGATCCACACAACATACACACACACACAGTCGTAGAATCAACAGACTTCTGCATAGCAAAACATAACACAACAACAACAAGAAGAAGAACAACACACAGTCGTACAAACCAGAAGCCGATTAACATACGATTAACTATTATGCACATGTACAGATCTACGTATGTACTTAAACCAAAAAAAAAAAAACGAATATGTCATAGATTTTTATTATTACCTTGGTATGGGACGTGAGACTGATAGTTCTATATATGTAGCTCATCATGATACAATATGAAATACGAAGAGGAAAACCAAATAAGATGAATATTGTACTTATTTTTGTTAACAAGATGACTAGCTAATTTTATTCCCACTAAAACCAAAAATGAAAAGAAAGCCACAAGAAATGCACTCCCTCCTAAACCCTCGTAAAGAGTCGAGGCCTCTCTTTGATGGGCATTTCGGAGAGTGTATCTACACTTCGGACTACCGACGATTTAATTGTTTACATGACGCACCTATCAAATGGGTAAAACATACATATATCCTTAGCTATATGCAACAAAAAACAAAAAACAAAAAAAACACTACATTACACGCAACATCGAACGGTGGTTCCCTTAGAATGACACCCCTCAAGAACCATATCCATGGGTAGGTCACGATGGCCTTGTCTTTCTCTTCTCTACTCGATCTGGCTTTCTAGTATGAAGTTTTATAATATCAGAAAGCTCTTGTTTTTTTAGCCAAATCTAAAACCAAATCCAAAGTTAACCAACAGCATCCTTAACTACTATTAGATATGATCGATGCTTGGGGAGAGTAATGTGGATAGAGAGAAGACAGCCATAGATTTGTTATTTTTAGTGCTCGGCTCGGCCAGTATTACGTACACTTCAGTATTATAGGCTAATTTATATTTAAATTTACTTGTAAAGGACACTCACACACACACACAAATTTGTTGCACCTTTGCCACCATCACATCTTATATCAATTAACACACCAGCCACACCCCACACACATTCCTTAAATTGTTCAATTTTCGAAGTCTAAAGGAGGTCTGCCACAGTTTTAGAATAAGATCACGAATGAAACAAAAAAAAAAAACACAAACAAAAACGTTGCAATGAACATTTTAGAGTATATGTATCTGCTACTTGCTACTCATATATGTATGTATAACTTCATAGTTCTATTATATGTATATCCATAGCTCAAATACACCATTCGGCTTCTGCTGATGATACATACATACATACTTAACGGTCTAGGCCCCCAGTTTAGATGGCCAAGGTGCAATAGACTTGACTTCAAGACTAATAAAAAAAGAAAATGCCAAAAACACTTGAAAAATAAAACCCCCTTAGGTGCGCGCTCAAGACATTTTACATTTATACACAAAGACAAATATTTACCTAAGTTAGTAGATTTGTATTATTTATTTAGCGCCATTCGACGAATATGTATAACATATATATATACGAGTATATATATATATATATTTACATGCAAAAATCACGCAACGAAATACACATTTAAAAAAAATGAACATATATACAAGCATACGATGAATACGATGATAATAAGTAACGAACTATGCGAAAGGCAGTGTTTAAAGGTCCCCTAATAATACCAACTCAAGATATTTAAGTATAAAGTTATACAAGGGGACGGTGTCCAAGAAATGGCATCGATCGCCCAATTATATTCCCTAAAAGGCACATCACATACACACACACCACCCCACTCCTACCATTAACCTACACCCAAAAACACACACACACAGAGAGAGGTATTTTAGTATCGCTAATAACGAACTAAAACCCAAAATCCCTGTCCCAAAAAGAGGAAGGCAGAAGGAATGGTGCAGAACTCAATTAAGATTTAAGCTGCATCGAAAGAACGTTTAGAAGTGCGTATTTTTTTCTTAATAATAATTATTCTATTTAAATCACAACAAACCACAACAATAAATATCATTCGTAAAATGGACTCTGAAGCCTGGACTTTCACTATTTAACTTATTTGATTCTCTGCTGACTAAACCCGAGGATAGATAAGCACCACATAATCCAAACATTACTCTGTTTATATTTCCAGATTCACCCACAACATTACGACAAGTACATCCATACAGTTCTTAACTCTAAAAAACAACAAAAATCGTTCACATATGTATATATGTATATATATATCTATATAGAAGGCACAATGTTCCAAAGTCGGATAGGTAAAACACGTACGAAGATATACGTTCTTCTGTCATGCGATTGTGTCATGGTCGAACTAAGACCTAGTCAACCTACTTTCGCTCTCTATGAAAAAAAAAAAAAAAACAACTCTAAGATTCGCACAGCCAATCGCAGGGTAATTTGGGCATCTTGCTAGCTGGCCATGGCAGATAGCCGGCGGTCTTGAAGACCCTATAGTCGTAGGACACCTTGGCAATTAGTGCTAATAATAACATGACCTCGGCGGCAATCAAATAGTAAATATAATCCGTCCAGTCGGGTGGGGATTGACACAACTTGGCCTCCTCCAACTCAATGACTCTCTGGGGTATATTACGACAGCGTATCTCCATGTAGTCGGGTATGTCAGAGCTGCGCTCCTTTAGCCAGTTTTGCAACGTTTTGGCCGAGTTGCAGTCGCACTGTAGCTTATTGCCAGCCAAGTAGATACGACGACCCAGGCCCGAGTCCATCAGGGCATTGTTTAGGAAATACTCTGGAATCTATAATGTAAAGTAGAACTCTTAGTTTCTGGAATCTATTAGGAAACGAAGGCGTTGTACTTACCTTGCTCAGTGAATTGTTCCGCATGTAGATGCGCTGGAAGGTTTCGATGAACTTGGTACCTTCGAACTCGTAAATGGAGGATATCTGGTTGTTGTCAGCCAAAAGTCGGTTGATGTTATGGTAGGTGGGATTCGTCTGGAAGTAATCGCCCAGGCTGGTAATCTTGTTGTTGGTAATATTGAGCATAAACGTGTTGTCCGGCAATCTTTTCGGCAGCTCCACCAGTCCCAAGTTGGAGCAGTCGACATGACACTGGGGCTTTGACTGATTATCCTGTATGATCATGCTGTTTTCCATTGTGCAATTGCAGCTGCCGTAGTTTGGGATCACCGGACAGTTGGTCAAACATCGTTTTCTGTTCACCAGCTGCTCCACGGATACCTTGTCCGTAGATTGGAACCATGTACGGGTGGCATTGTATTGGCAGTACGAGTGCTGGGGTTTCAGGAAGTTGATGGATTCGTTGTAGATGATTTCATTCAGCGGGGTACATAACATTCGCATATTGCCACTGAAAGTAGAGATTGGGTTAGACTTTCTCATTTGCTATATTTAATGTGATTGATAGTTTACCTGATATCCAGCGTAATGTTCTTGTTCTGATTCCGATGAGGCACCAGCGACAGATTGTTGTTTGACATGCCAAAGAACTCTAGATGGGGCACATCTTTGACTGCCCGCGAATGGATCTCTGAGATATTATTGTTCGATATGTTCAGACATTTCAGGGCAGAAAGTCGGGGAAAAGCGTTCACCAGTCGCGTGATATTGCCGTCCGTAACGGCAAGGGATTGCAGCGATCGGAAAATTGGATTGGACAGGTCCATGTCCTCCATAGTCATGTTGCGCACATGCAGATTGATCCACTTTGATGTATTACTGCAGCTCGAGATCATCGTCAGTTGTGATATGTTGCAGCAATACCAGGAGTTGGGTCTCGTCGGGTGCTCCTTACACTGGCATTGACTATTTCCCTGTGCTCCTCTATTCTGAGATTCCGATTGCTGCGGTGTCAAGGCCTGGCCCTCGATGCCATCCGTTCGTCCGTCGAAAGCGTGTCCACATAGCTGCTCCTCGGCGTAAAAGCAGTGTTTCTGGTACTCCGGTTGCTCAGGAGCAGCTGGCGGTAGGGGAGCGGCCGAAGTCGTCGAGGTAGATGTCGTAGACGTGGTCGAGACCGTGGTTGTTGTTGTTGTTGTCGTTTCTGTTACAACTCCTGCATTTGACGTACTTTGCGCCGTCATCTCGGCCAGAGTAAATGGCGTGGTAGTTTCGCTTGCTGCAACATTATCAGCCCTCAAGATGGGATCAAGTATGCCTGTCCCCTGCGCACTTTCCTCCAGCGACGCACGAGATTGGGGACGTAGAGAGAAGTGCTCGCCATGGGGCGGTGGGTCCTGCGTTGTTTCTGGCCGCGCGCATGCGCTTGCCACAAGAAGCAGAAGGAGCCATAAGACCTGCAATGGCAATCAAATGGCAAATTAGTGGGAAATAAAAAAGTGAATGGGGAAAAGTACCGAGTCGCACGTTGGAAGTACACACATGCAAATATTTGCCCGGCCAGACGCGTTTGTTTGCGAATCGAATTACGGCGACGAGGGCTTGGCCTGTGGCTCGTCCTCCAATCGCCGTAATTAGGGTAATGGAGGCGCACCCCGTACGCAGTTGAACGGTTGTGGAGGGCCTCCAACTGGTTTCCCAATTGGATCCCCAACCGATTTAGAGTCTTGCGGCTTAAATGCTCAACTGCTAATGACACCGCTACGCTAATTCGGCAATTAATTAACGAATCGTATGTGATAAAAGGCCAATAAAAAGATTAATTGTTTGCTGTTTGGGAGCACTTGTGGGTGGGTTGGGTCGTTATGTTCTTGCTAAAATGACATTTTCAATGGCATGGCTAAGCTATTTCTGGACCATGCTATATAATCTAGTGGTCTAGTGGTAATATACAAAGTACATAAGACATCATAGATATGCCAAAATCAGTTATTTACAATGTTTTTTTTGTTGTTGTTTAGATTAAAAACACATTATCAGTACGTAGACCCCCACCCACACCTAAACTGGCCAAACTGCATGCGCACTGGACTTGACTTACGTGGGTGTAAGCGAACATATCGCTGCCAAAATAGAATTCCACTGGTTACTCCTTGACAGGTTGACCCTTTGATAAGGCTAGCAATGGAATGGACACCCGAGGAATCCGAATCACACGGAAGTGTCCAAAATTTAAATGATTTGCGCACATCCCAGTCTCCAAGAGGAAGAGCTCTTTTCAGGCGGTTTTACGGGTTAAGTTGCTCCGTCAAGTGATCTGCCACCAATCCGCACGTGAAGAAATTCAATACGATATTGAAAATCCGTGATAAACAAAGATATTTCATTCGATTTGTTAAAAAACGAACAAAACAAAAGGCAACAGTTACGCGCAGCTTAGCAGAGCACTCACTGTTAAGTGATGAGCTCTGACTGTTAAATGATAGAAACTGTTAAGTGCTCTATTATCGATGTTATTAACAGCCTCTATCGATAGTTAGCTATTTTCTAGCTAACCAATAATCGATTACTCAAAATCGGCTATAGTCGAGTTCTGCTCACCTCTGATTGACATTTCCAATCGAGTTTTGCCCACCACCAAGAGACGCTTACAAGTGTTATTGCAACTTAATGCGCGCTTTTTTTTTACTTTGTCCATCAAAAACTAGGAAAATTTATTGTGCGTGTTTGAAAATTAAGTGTGCGACTCCAAAATCATCACTAGAACTCAGGATTCGATCAGATAGACAGTTTTTATCAGTGACACATTCGATACCATATAAAGTGCAAAGTCTAAACAGGAAATACTACTGTAATATTGCGAAATTCGCAAAAACACCACGTAGCCTAAAGATGCCGATTGATACGCGCGAGTTGATGGAGGCTATAGCCATTGTGGCTGACGACCGCAACGTCCGCGTCGCCGTAAAGCAGTCCGGTAAGGGAGCAGCTATCTGTGCCGCCTGCTCTTTTGCGGGCGGTATGCTTTTGGGTCCCGTTGGCCTGGCGGTTGGCGGGGCTGCCGGAGGCGTAGCTGCTTATAAGATGACTAGCGGTAAGTTGAGTTAAATTATCTGTGCCCTACCGATCTTAACATGTACAAATACCATATTAAACAGGCTCATTCCGACCGCTGGGCGAAGTCATCATGAACGATCTAACGGACACACAGCGCGAACAGCTGGTGCAGCATGTTTCCAAGGCCGTTGCCGAAATACATCCCACCGATGTGGTGATGCTCCTGCCGCTCATTGTTCAAAACGCGTCCATCCAGCAGGCCGTGCTTAACACAGTCATGTCATTTGTGACCAACGAGCTGCGTATGCAGATTGTGGACTGACCGGCTGCGCGGAGAGGTGAACAATGACCAGGTAACTGTAGATTTTGGACATCTATATTAGTCAAAACTGTTGTGATTTGTGTAGGTTTATTAATAAATACTCTTTATGTACATAAATTTTTGGGTTTGAACGACAGTGGGGGTGAACTACTCCCACTCGACATTCACCTGCTCCCAGTCGTCCACAAACGGCTGGTCAATTGTATTGATTAAAAGGCCGCAGAACAGGCAGTCCGCAGCCACAATATCCTCGATTTGGGTTTTTAATAGTGCTCTTTTCCGCTGCAGTTCCTTCGCCTGTTGTTTGCCCAAGGCACTCGAGTGCGGCAGCGACAGCGCCTGCGACTGGGTCTGCACCTCTGCCTCCAGTTGCTGTTTCAGTGTGTTAAGGCGTTTGGCCTGCTCCTTGGTGAGCATGGGAACGACCTGCTTCTCAAGACAGTCGCTGTGGAACTTGTGGCCGCACATGAAGACGAAGAAAGGCTTTACCAACAGCATCATCTCGCAAACTCCGCACGTGTCCTGCGCATTCGCAGTGAAACTGTGTTGCCGAATGTCTTGCAAATCTTCTCGCACTCGTTTGGTTTGCTCCTCGGTCTCGGACATTTCTCGCTGCAGCTCCTGGATTCGCTGATTATAATCCTATAGATCAAGAAAACTGATTGGTATCGAGTTTTAACGTATGTTTTGCATTTGCTCATACTTGCAAGGCATCACAGATCGGTTCCTTGAAGTTGTCAATCTTCTCGAAGTCGGAAAAGAATGGCAGGAGGTCCTCTATTCGCAGAAGATCACACTCCTTCAACAGGTTAAGTGCCTTCTTAACGTCGTCAGTTCCTTTTATGTCGTGATACGCTGAAAAAAGCCGAGGATAAAAAAAATACCTGATATGGGACGGCATAACACAAACATACCAATGCGAAGCCAGAGCGTGCGACGCATTTCACTGTCCGTCGGCCTGGAAGCGGTCTCCTTGGCCAGCTTCATATCGAACGTGAGGGCGAGATCAACTGCAGATACCCATTTGCGTAGCAGGCAATCCAGGAACACGCAAGCCTCCTTCACCTTCAGATCGTGACATATCTTGAAGGCGTAGTGGATGTCGTAGTGAACAAGAGTCTCATCGCGGCCCTGGATTTCGAGGTACTTCATCAGCAGCTTTGGATCGTGCTGCGCGTACAAGTGCAGCAGGAAGTTATGTATGGCATCGTTTGTGGTATTGAGCTTGTAGATGGCGAACTCAAGGTACCGCTGCGTTTGCTCCCGCTGCTCGCGATCTTCCATAATGATGAGCGTTGGCACGAGCTTTTCCACTTCCAGTCGAGATCCCTGGGCCATTAACGCGTCCACCGTTGGCTTCGGCAGCTTCGTAATCAATTCGGGCGCATATTTGTAAAAGAGTTCTGGATTCCGTTGATTGATCAACGTTTGCAGAGCTTCAGTATAGGACTCCGCTTTTAGTTGCTGCCCCACGACTTCATCATAATCACCGATGGCGATAGCAAACTGTGCCATGTTGTGGGGATCTGCGTGCTCGGCTATCAAATCCTGCACGTCCTCTCGATTTTGTCGTGTACAGGATAGGACAGAAGCATCCATCATGAACTCATCGTACTCCGTTTGCCACGCCTTGCGCCACTCCTCGTTTTGGTCGGGCATGTTAATCTGAATGAGGTAGAGGTCAATAAGCCAAATGACCAGAGCCTTGAAGACACTAGCTTCTTCCTCGTCCATCGCCTCTACTTCTACAGGCATAGTGGTCATCCGACTGAGGCGTTTTTTGATGTAGTTGATGATGGGACGCTTGTCTGGCAGCTCCATGAACTTCAAACACACCTCCTCGAAGGACTTGTCCGTCTCCGAGTAGTAGTCGGCCGCCACCTGGTAGGATCCATCCGCGAAGGCGGCGTCCGCCCGTTGGCCAAGCACGAGTTGCAAGTTCTCAGGATTTTCGGCTGCATGCGCTGTGGCTAGCTCGTACTGGCCCTTGTCGAGATAGATGCGCCACACGTTGCGTTCCTCACGCGTCACCCTAACATTGAACACGGTCTTCGTGGTATAAACGTATATGGATCCGGTGTGGTCGTCCCGTTCGATGTTCAGGGGTTTGCCCACCCGGGCCTCGTCGAAGGGTTCCTGGTAGACCTGCTCCTGGTTCAGCAGGCAGATGGCTCGTATATGGTCCGCATACAGTAATACTGCATGGTACTCCGTCAGTACGAATGCCTTGGGAATGTTAAGGCGGCGCTCCTCGTACGACAGGTGCATGGCCTTCTCGAAGTCCAAGTTAATGAGTGTGTTTCCTATCAGTGTGGTGGCGCTGTTGCCCTCGATGGAAAGCTGAAAATGTAAAGAAGTCAGTCGACCGCCGGACGCAGCTAAACCAGCTACTTACCTCACCCACACGGATGCCCTCGCCACACAACCACGCCCACTGCTTTGGATATTTGCCGTTCGGCGGGGCGAAAAAGCGGAGCTGCGAATAGGTCAGATCGGTCTTGCGTTCCTCGCAGTGCGGCTCCTGCACGCCGCTTACGTAGCCGGCGAATATCGACTGTAGAGATCGCTCCTCTGCCTTAAGGGTCTCCTGGAATGTGTAGATGCACTCTGGACTTGTCACCACGATTATGTACCGATTGCTGTTGGGCACCCGCAGCAGCTTGAGGCCCGTGATTGTGTATTTCGGGCGTCCTAGACCCAGGTCATAGAGCTGCTTGCGCTGGACGTGGCCGTCAAGGGCTGGACTCAGTTCGGTCTCAAAGATAAGACCGCGACTGGTGCCGAGCAGAATTGGACCCGTTGTTGATTCACTGCCGTGATAAGGATTGAAGGCGACGGCCGTAATCTCGTGGTCCTTGAACTTCTCAATGCGTCGCACCTTAAGTTGCTGCGCCTGTGGCGACTCCAGGCAATGGATGTACAAAAAGTCCGGAGAGACGCCGGAGGAAGCGGACCTTGGCACTAGTGCGATGATTAAGTGATGCCCGGTGGGATCCAGGAACATCCGAGTTATCTTGTAGCCCGAGCCCGACAGATACTTCTCCAGAGCAACCTCTACAAGGACAAAAACAGTAAGTAGAGTAGACCTAGTTAAAGATGGTTACACTTGCCGCCCGGAGGAATGGCACGGGGTAGAAAGAAACGCAGTAATGTGGTCCGCTCCGCCGTGCCCAGCAGACAAAAGAGCCAGTTCCGTGAGACGGTCAGATGCATCAGGTCACCGGTGCAGTTACTGGGCACCCGTAGAACCATCTTGTGCCTGCTGAAGATCTCATCCTCCTCGTCGGTTTCAAAAGGATTCCCGGAGGCGGTGGCCACGTAGGAGTTGGCAGTACCCGCGGTGCTCCGCTGGACGCGGGGCAGGAACTTGGGCTGATTGGGCATATCCGGGTCCATGTCCATGTCCATTTTGCTGTATTTTCCTCGTCTGCTTAATTGTTTTGTTTTCCCCGACAATACGCCCCAATTGCACTGGAGTTATCGATAGGTGGTTGATGAATAGGAAAACTGTAAAGGAACTATCGACTCGAATTATCTATATGTGGTTGATGAATAGGGAAACCGTAAAGGAACTATCGAAAGACATCTCGGATATCGAGTTGGAATAGGTAATCGATAGTTAAATTCCCGCTCATTATTTATTTGAATGCATAGCAGGAGCTAAAAGTGAAGATTCTCCTCCCTCCCATAGAGCAATGAAAAGTAAGTTGTATTTTTTTTTTGTTTTTATTAATAATTAGTGTTTTCTTTGTATACATGTAATTATATTATTTATATATATTTATGTTGGATGCGTGCTTTCCTGCCGCCGTTAAACATTTTTGCCATTTTTGAGCATGCAAAATGCCATCCGTCATGATAAACATCATATACACTTCATCGTCTGACTCGTGATCTATATATTTGTATTCTTTTCGATCTTAACTGCTTTGATTTTTCAATAGGGTTAGTAATAAAAAAAAATGTACAATTAGTTTGTATACATGTATGTTTGTATGCATGAAATGAGTTTCTTGTTATTTTTGTGCCATTTATTTACTAACGTTTAATTCTTTTTGCTTGACTTTATGTTAAATTATTCATCTGCTCTTTGTTACCTATTTTTGTTTCTCTTTCTTTCTTTCCTTTCCTTCCTTTTTTCTTTAATAAATTCGGACTTTAAAAGTGTTCGAAATTACATATATATATTTATATATATTATTTCTAGTAAATCCTACAAAAAAAAAATAGTAATAATATTATTATTTTAAATGTTCTTTCAGGTTTCCTTCAAGTACAACTAATCTGCATATATATTGTGCTTTGATCGGTGAAGGACGTGTCAAGTGTATCTATATCTGAATCCGAATTGGAATCTCTCTGTCGGTCACCATTTGGGCATTATTGGAGAGTGCGCCGTTTCTCAGTGAAAAATATATGCATGTGAGTTATTATGTATAGCCGAAAGTATGGAAAAATGCAATCGCATATACATCGTATTTGACTATTAGATAAAAATCCAAAAAGTTCGTTTTTTGCTTCTACCGAGTCTGATTCGCAAATATTTGCTTATTTTTTTTGTTTTTAATGGTTTTTGGTTTGCTTGCTATTAAGAGCTTAAAACATCGTTATCGCTTATTTGGCGCTATACAATTAATTTTAAAAATTTAAATTTTGTAGTTAATCACAGATTTTTGTTTTAAATACCGAAAAGTTAAATTAATAAACAGCGTAGTTCCGAAATGTATTTGGCTTTTTGCATATTACACATATGCATATATATGTATGTGTCTTCCTATGCCTGTACACATTGAGAATTATATATATATATATATATATATATGTATATGTATGCATATGTATTGTATATAATATAATTAATAATTTTGACTAATAATTTTCAATTATCTAATTTAGCTTCCAATTTAAGTTTTTTTTTGTTTTGTGTTCTAAATTTGTAATTTGTAATAATTTCTCATTTTTCTTATTTGAAAGTTTTTCTTCTTTTTTTTTTTTTGTGATATGCGTTGCATTTTGTTCAATTTTCAATTTTCATTATTTACTTTTTTAGTTTTTAAGTTTAGCTTTTATGCTTTCTTCGATTTTTTCGATTTCCATTTCAAATTCAAATTTTGCTCACACATACATGTACAAGGTACTTGCGCATGGGAGAGTGACAGATAACAACAGATAAATAGATATTTAGATAGAAAGATTCAGTGTCCTGACCATTTGTATGTGTGTGTGTGTGTGTGTAGGTGTAGGTGATTTTTTCGGGTGGGGAAAGTGCGGGGTATACATATATACGTTTCTATTTCTAAGAATATCTTTATACGAACGTTAAGAGCTATAAACTACATTAATATGATTCAAAATCTTCTCATTAATGGTACGAATATATGCGTCTTTTCTTCATTTTCTTCTCATATCAGTTTATTTTGGCCATGCTAGATCCTTTCGTTGGAAATTCTTCTTCTGGTTTGGGTTTCTTTTTTGTTACTTTCTGCTGGCTGGCTGTCTGGGTTTTCTCTTCTCTTTAGTATATAAGTACGATCTAGGGCCGATGGAGGTGTTCTAGGGTTCTAGTAATGGGCAATCCTTACAAGTATACTAGTTTCCTGAGCATTGGTTAGCTTCCCTGAGTCAAGTCCTGTGAGCCAAGGTCATAGAAAAGGCTTTTAAATTAAATTATTAAAAAAAAAAATATAATAAATGTAAAGATATGTAAAATATATAGTTTGTGTTTTGGTTTTGCTTGAAATGATTGCTTTTTTTATTGTTTAACATATGCCAAAAAGTATAATTTTGAATAGGTTTAAATGATACATAAACATACATAAAGGAGGTGCACAAAAAATAATACAAAAGTTCGCATTCACAGTTTCGTAGAGTATCTAAACATAAATTTTGTTTTTCGTTTCTTTTCTTTTTTGTAAATAATATTATTTAATTTAAAAAATATATAAAAACAGCCAAAATGGAATTTCGTTCATGGAAAAGGAAAATGAAAACTTTCAAATTTCACTTTTCAAAGATTTCTTAAGATCACAGTTTGTTTTGCATTTGCATTATTTTTCGTTTTTATCTCTGCTTATTTTTTTCTTTTCTTGTTACATCCAAAAAATAAATCGGTTTGATGAGTTTCTCTTACAAGTTTTAAGAAATTAAATACTAAAAATAAACGTTAATTTCGTTCAAGTTCAGAATAATAAAGTATATAAAACACACATTTAAAATTAAGTTTTAAAATTAACAAAAAAAAAAAGAATATATATCATAAATACGTTTAAAGTAAATGTAAGTGGAAGAGTTAAGTTAAGTCTAAATGCTAAATGATAAATGGAAAAGGGAATCTTAGGACCCTAGACTGTGTCACACAGCAGCTCGCCATTCTCAATGTGATTCTGTTATACTGATTCCCAATTGCAATCTATATATATGTATATATCTCAACCCATATCTGGCCATATCCCACCAACCGCTGACAATCCGCTGATATATCTGTGTAAGTTAGAATAAATTATTTAAGACAATGTCAGATCTACAGAGCCAAACTGCCCATGATTATGTAATGTATGTATTAAAACCTGGATGGATCTTTGCTTGAACGCTGATAAGGAAACCTCATGTTGATCATATTGATCACTCTAGGGTATCGTCTGGGTAGCATGGCACAAAGAATACTAATTACTTGCCTACAACTGTTTCCTATACCTACTACTGCAATCTGTATATGTATTTGTTTTTGTTTTTGCTGCGCCGCCTATAACTATGTTTTTTTTTTTTGTTGACAAGAAATCGGAAAACTATCGCACTTGATGATGGATGTTGCTTGATGATGATATGATCCCCCTCCCTTTTAGAGGTATGTTGATTGGAAGATTTATTTCCTGCATGTGTCTCTCTCTGTGTATGTGTGTGTGTGTGTTATTATATAAGTTGTAAATTGGTTAGATTTAAGAAATTCCTGAGATATTTTGAATTGATACACATTCTTCGTACTTTCATTTTCATATTTTCTTAGCTTTGAAACATTTCTCTCTTTTTTGTTTTTTGTTCTTAACACAGATGTTCGTGGGTGTATTTTTTATGCACATCCCGTCTGAGTTTGGGCAGTTTTAAGTTTTTTTTTTCGATTTCCTCTAGTTATCATACATATATCTGTTTTCAAAGACCCAAGAAAAACTGTTTGGTTTATGATCATAGATATTGCTCTGTAGCTAGACCCCCCCAAACAACCCGAGAGGTATGTACAATATGTTCGGCAGTGCAAACTTTTTATGATTTTTTGACTCTGATTTCTGATTCTGCTCTAGATCTCTGCGCTCCCTTTGCTCTCTATATATTTGTGTGATCTCTGCTCTTACGACTCTTGTTATTAAATTTACTTTCAGAACATTTGTACTTCGCTGGTGAAAAATCACTGAGTTACTTTGCGGTTTTGTTTTTGTTTTTGTTTGTTTTTAATACGTTAATCCTCGATTTGCAAAAAGGGTTTACAGCTCAATCTATACACCACACGGCTGGAGTGTGTTTCGTTTCGGCTTGTGTATATCATCGGTATATATCGTATATATCGTATATATATATATATATATATGTTGTATATATGGTAAATGGTGTAAAGTATATACATGTATACATAGACTTTAGAATAATTGTTTCTCTTTCGCTTACACATACACATAGGTTTTTGTATGTATTGTGTTATATATATATTATATATATAAAAAAAAAAAATGATTTTCATTTGTTTTACTTTATTCGTCGTATTTGTGATTAAGTAGAAAAAGTAAGTTGTTATTCTTCTTCTCTACTTACATACTTGATATTTTATCCCTGATAACGTTTTTCTTTTGTATGTTGGTTGTTGGTTGGCTTTGTTTTTGTTTTTGTTTTAGCTTTTGTTTTAGCTTGCTTGTTGCATGTTCAACTTTCTCTGTGTAGTCCAACGACTCAATCTTACGCACTAGTCTTACATAAGTCCTACATTTACAGTAAGGTTTCTTTGCAATAAAAAAAAAAAAATTACACTCATCTTATATAGTCTAGTCTGCCGCCGATCCGTAGGATCTTGATCTTTTTTTCTGTTTTTCTTTCTTAACTGGAATCCGACTCTTTAGAGAACGCACATTTTCTATTTAGCGCAGCAGTTGGCAAATAAAATAGATTTCTTTTTTATGGGGTAAAAACTAGAAAAAAAAAGTAATGTTTACATCGTATGATTGTGTGTGTGTGTGTGTGTGTGGTTGTGTCTTGCAAAAAACAACAACAAATAATTCAATGCTGGGGGGGAAGGGCGAGGGCCGAGTACCGATGGCGCCCGACAGGTGGCTCAGATTCTATTTTAGATTCGGTTTGCTTTGCTTTTATCTTAAGTTTCAGTTTAAGCTGCAGCTTCAGATTCGTTTGCAGTTGCATGATATGTACCGTTAATGCCCCATCAGTGCTCGCCCACTGGCCATGCCCCCAGCTTGTGTGTGTATGTATGTGTGCGTGTACGTGTGTTCTAGTCCTTCGTTCTCTTCCCATTCTGTTGTTTTTGTTGTTGTTAATGTAACTCTAATTCTAATAAGTATTCTTTAAACGCAACTTCACGCTGTTTGTAATTGTGTGTTTTGTGTGTTTTTTGTGTTTTGTTTTTGCTTTTGCTTTTGCTTTTGGCCTGCTCGTGCAGCAGTTCCAGAGGTATTTATGATTTATCGAAATTATTTACACGATTCTTGAGGTATTGCACATGAAGCAGCGAAGATGCTTCAACTACTAAGTAGGTGAGAGCAGCACAAATAACTAATAGTACAGAGTAAGATACACAAAAAAAAAAAAAATATATATATACGTACATGTATAGTAATAATTACCTAAACATAGGGATAAGAATAATAAAACAGTTGACGCCAAAAAATATGCCTAATATGCTTAGAGTTACGCGCGTGTTAATTAATAATTAATTAGCTAAGACCTAGTGCAGGCTGAGGACGACCCCCGCCTTTGTTTCGCCTTTTCGGGTATGCTAAGGTCGGGTAGTGGTCGTCGGTCCAGTGCGAAAACAATGGGCAAAGTATTTGTAGCTGGTCTTGGCTGCTGCTCGCTCACACTGGTCGTCCGTCCAACTCTGACTCGGACTCGGACTCTGACTGACTGGGGCGACCAGGTTCGTTCCCTAAAAGATGGCATTCCAACTTAGCTCCTATTGGATGCCCGGTGGCGGCTGTCCCAGCTCGCTGGTGAAATCGAACAGGCTAGTCCGCGGATGGGAGAGGGCATGATGATGGGGATGCGGTAAATGGCCATGTCCATGACCATGCCCAACAAGACCATGCTTAATGGCCGACGTTTTGAGCAGCCGCTTAAGCATGCCGCTCGAGCCACGATGCTGCAGGCTCTTGTGCGTCGTCAGTGAGTTCTTGGTGCGATACCGCCGATGGCAGAACTCGCACACGTACAACGTGTCCGACTGCTCGTGCTTGTCCTGGAAGTGACGTTTCAGCGAGTAGTAGCACGAGAAGGTGCGCCGGCAGTAGGGACACTCTTGGGGTTCGTTGATGCCACCGCTAGTGGGTGGCGGCATGCGTAGCGGTAGCTGTGGAGCGCCTGCCTGGGCAACACCACCGCCCGCTGACGCTGATTGGCTGCCAGGACTTGAGCCGTTGTTGTTGTTGCTATTAGTGTTGCCATTGCCATTGTTGCTGTTGCTGTTTGTGTTGTTGCCATTGTTGTTGTTGTTGTTGTTGTTGCTGCTATTAGTGCCGGTGTTACCCATGGTAGTGGAGGAGCACAGGTTACTGCCCATACTGCTGCCGACGCTACCAGGACGTGGCGGGGAGGTGGCATGACCAAGGACATGACCATGGGCATGACTGTGTAGATTGTAGACGGCGGCGGCCAAACTGCCATTCAGCGAACTAGTCGGCGAGGTCAGAGCGGTGGGGGGCGACGGCGGCGATGAGGTAGAACTGGTGGGCGAGGTAGCTGCGGAGCGGGTGATGCTGTGCGGTCCTGCACAGGAGAACAAACAAAAAGAGGCGTTAGAGCGTTTGAACAGGGCGTGGTGTCTATTAGGTGATTGGTGGTAGGGTGGGTGGGGGTATTTCTTATCAATTCGAACTGGTTTTTAGGCTTATTTATTGGTATAAATTTGGTATTTGGTATTGATATTTATATTGCTTTTGTGGATTGGTTCAGAAAGTATGAAAATAAAAGTGCACGTTAAAGGGTGAAGATACATGTGGAAGAGATTATCATTTGGTGCGATTCCCTTGCGGGGCGACCAGTATACTGGAAGTAGAAGGAGGAGGAGTGGGAGAAGGTTGTGGGTCTCTGGAAGGGACAGAGAGGGAGTGGAGAGGATAGTGGAAAATGTTTAAAATAAAATACGGTAGGTAGGTAGTAAATGGATTGAATGCTCTATTTTAGCACTAAGAACTTCCTGAATTGAATTGAATTTTAAATTTGTTTGCTAGCAGAGAGTAGAGGTAAAGCGTTATATAGTTCAATACTCGAATATATATATATTATTATTATATATATATATATATATATGTGTGTGTTTATAAAGGTAAAGATAAATGAGTGTGTCGTTTCAAGTTCAGATTTTAAGCTATTTGCCACTACTTTGGCTATACCACCGAACCTGGTTTCCGTTTCGTTGAGCTCCCTCCCCTCTACTCTTTTTTTCATTTGTACATTTCATAGGATAACGAGTAACGAGTGGGGCGAATAACAACGAATCGGAAACGGTTCGGTTCGGAAACGGAAGCGGTTAATTTTGTCGATGGCTTGATAATACGTTAGGACCTCGATTTTTGACAGTTTGTCTTTTAGGCATGTCTGAGCTTATAATTTTGTTATATGCATAATGTGTGAAGTTATGGCAGAGAAGGAATTCTACTTGTTTTTACTAACTGCTTTCCTACTAAAGATACCTTTTTCAGCCCTCGTCGAGTTGCTGTAGTGGGCGGCCAATCCCATTCGGAGTCTCAATCCTAAAATTGAGATTGAGACTCCGTTAAAGGGCATGCATGTTTGCCGGCCCAACCAGCTGACTTCGACAGTGGTCTGAGAACGCGGAATCTGGAGTGTATATATTTTCAAACTTTGATCTGTACACTATACACTTTTGTTTTTTTACTACTTCGTGTAGGCGTAAATAGGGAAATTAGGCTATAATAACAACCGATTGTACATATATACATAAGAGGTACGAACGAGTTACACTACAAAACCAAACAAAGTGCACATGCAATCAAAACACGTACGTGTACGTATGAGTGTCTATGAGTGAGTATGTATATGTGTGAGTGTGTGTATATGTGAATGTGTGTGTGTGTGTGTGATGTGTGTTTGATGAAAATGGGTAGGGTAGCAAGCAGATGAAGTGTGGCCAAGGACAGAGGATACTCGTGCAAGCAAATAGCAAGTAGCGAGCAGCGAGTAGCGAGTTGGTGGTGGCGAGGCAAAGCGTGTGGCATGCAGAGAGACAAGCGAGAGAGCAAAGAATCAAAAGTAAAGCAATAAACATTAAGGCTATATATTTATATATATATTATAAAGCTAATCACATTTCGAATATGGATTTCAGATGTGTCTTGCAAGCTTTCGCTAGTCGTTTTTGGTTCAATTTTGGCTGGGTTCATTTTTAGTTTTTGTTTCGGTTTTTTTAGGCTGGTTTAGTTTTGCTTTTCTTTTGCGACTTAAAATAGGGAAATTGAACAAAACGGAAAGCGGTAATTAATATAAATAATAAACTATGATTGCAGTTAGTAGAGAGAGCTGGGCGCCCCGACTCGATACGAGAGATCAAGCGTGGAGGAAGCGTGGCGAGTCTGGATTCGATTTACAAAATGTGTATACTTTTGTCGTGCCCCTCCGACGACGAAAACTTACCAAAACAAAAAGTTTTTAATACTTGAATATGTCTAGTTGGTAGTTGCAGCGTTCGTTATCCATTTCTTTTTTTTTCTAGATTTCTTTAGGTTTTAGGTTTCATATTACTATATTTATAGTTGAAAGTAGTATTCTTTTTACATATGTGGGTGGGGGTGGTGGATACTCTTGCTTATTTTTACAGTTGCATCAGAGGGAACAGTAGGTAATGAGACAGTGAAAGAGAGGAAGAGAGAGAGAGAAAAGAGACAACAATACGAGTACTGAAGAAACGCAGATGCCAAAGTCAACGCGGCGTAAGAGGAGCAGAGGTTCGAAGATCAGATGTACAGAGGAACTGAGAAAGGGCTGTTAATGGGAGGAGACTAAAAATCCCCCGCATCCGGGCAAATCTTCTCGCCACTTTAAGCTGAAAAATGTCCAAATCAATCAAGGTGGAGCGAGATAGCAGCTCTGGTCACTACGGTTAGTTAAGCTTCAGATATAGAGAGTAGTAAGAAAGATAGGTGAACGACCTGATATTATATATGACTAAGCTGTGGATTATTACTTGTTAGATGTGTGAGCGAGTAGGAAACAATTATAGAGATAGATAGAGAGAGAGAGAGAAAGTCAGAGAAGAAGGGTGAAAGATCGAGATCGACTACGTTAGCGAGTGAGTGGATCGTACTTACAGGTCGCAGATGTTTTCTTTGTACATGAGTGGTTGGTTGGTTGGTTGGTTAGGCTATTAGCTACGGCGAGTCTAGTGGAAAGTGATAACGAGAGTGGGAGCTAGAGAGCAAGAGCGAGAGCGGGTAGGCGAGTTCGGAACGCGAGTGAGCAGGCAATATAGTACAATGGTTACAATATACATAAGAGTACTTAGGCGAATGGTGGCCAGAGTGGCGGTTATAGGACGGAGAAGAGAGTGCTTAGTTTTAGTGGCAAGCTGACCAACGCCGATAAATACCCAAGTTGGTCTGGTTAATTGTTTGCATCTAGAAACAATTTGTACAGATATAGCGTATTAATATAGCGTATCGCTAAGGTGGCGATGGCACGCTCGATGGTTCGTTAGTGTGTATGGCAAGTGGAAAGAAGATAGATATTTATAGGAAGAAAGAGATACTTTTACAGATAGATTCAGTTTTAGCCAGAGTAGAGCTATGGCTGGCCGTGAGACAGTGTGTAGAACGAGGCCATGAGAGGTAGAGAGGTAGAGAGAGAGATAGAGGGGAGGATAGCATGTAATGTACTAACTACGTATCGGCGCATGGTCGGATACTTGGCTACCAATGTAGTTTAAGATGTTGGGCTAACCTTTAGCAAGCGCGCGATCTTCTACTTTGAGTGACTAACGAGTAGCGGGTGCGAGTAGCGAGTAAAGTTCAAGTTGAGGCTCTGGCACTGGTACATCGAAGTCAAATTGGAGCCAGCTTTACATCCCTCCGATTTTTGGGGCAAGATTTTGAGGACTCTCTGGTTTACTTGCATCTTGCGCTTTTCGTCTTGATCTCATTCTCCGTTCGACAAATTGTGTTCTGTTGTTGTTGTTGTTGTTGTTCTTGTTGAGCCAAGCCGAGTCGCATCATGCCACGCCAAATTTGTTGTTGTTGTTATTATTCGTTGTTGCAACATTTATAGCCTTAGGCACAAGTTGAGCGGCAAACTGTGCTTAGACTTACGCCTAAGTTGTGCTTTTACTTTCCATTATCAACTAATCGTCTTTAGGTTAGTTAGGTATATATATATATATCTATGAATGTATATATATTTCTTTTGCTTTATATAAGTTAATGTTTATATATATATATTTATTACAGAAGAAAGCACGTTACAAACTGTTCAGCTTGTCTAGGTCGAGTGAGAAGTTACGTAGATATTGTGAGAAAGGCAACTTGTGCGAGGTTTGTCCGTTTCCGAACTAACAGAAACACGAAAAAGTAGCTATATATGGTATTTGTAAAATTGACTACGAGTACGTTATATGAGGTATAAGGTAAAAGAAGGCCACAGAGTGTAAACAGTGTATATATCCGTATTACTATATACTGGTCCATAGGCGTGAGTTGTGAAAAAGTCAGCAAGTCTACGTTAGGTCGACATCGATGTACAGGTTGATCTGGCTAATGTTTACTTTAAATCTAAAAGAGTTACAAATGTCATTATTTTCTTTTCTTCTTTTCCCTAAAACCTAACTTACTTCCTAATGTCTTTTGTTAAGCAATAATGAGCGTATAATTATATTGTTCGTAAATGTCGTCCCCCTTCTAATAGTTAATAATAGTTAATAATAATAATAATAATATAGAGACCTACTCTCGCTTTGTTCGTCGTGTATAATATAGATCGGTAGTCATGTAAAGGTATGTATATATATCACTACATAATGGCATTGCTTTAAGTTTTGAGCTCTAGTAGTTGCTAGTCTAGTCTAGTTGCTCGTGGTGGCAATCGAAGGGCCGTGACTGCTGCCGTGTCCCTGACTTTGCATGTAACTGTGACTGCTATCACCGTTGGCAGTCCGCTGATAGAAATAGTAATCGTACAGCGTCATTATCTGTCTCTGCTGGATTAGCAATTGGTATTGGTCATCAAGCGGCATTAGCCGCTTCGGATATGGCCCTAAGTCGAGACGATCTTGATGATCTTTCAAAGGGTTTGCTGAGGTAGAAGTCGAAGTCGATGTGTTGAGGTTTGTCATGGTCGTGCTGGCTTTCTTCGCTTGTATTGGCTGTTGTGGTTGTTGTTGTTTTAGTTGTTGTTGTTGTTGTTGATTATGATTATGACTTTGCTGTGGCACGCTGCTAAGGCGACCCGGCAAGGGCGTTAAGTCTCAGATTGACGAGTTGAACTGGTTATAGAGCTTAATGTCCTTCATTTCCATTTCGCCGGGACGGGACTTGTGATAGGTATAAATGTGCGTCATTAGCGAGTTGCGAGAGCAGTAGACGCGCTCACAGATGGCGCAACGATACTCCTCTTGGCGCACGGCGTGCTTGTCGGCAATATGACGCTTGAGCGAGGCTTTCGAGCAGAGGAGCTTACCGCAGAGCTGGCATGAGAAGAGTTTCTTGGGCGAGTTTCCTGTAAATTGTTGGATTGGTGGATTTGGATTTTGGTATGATTGG